TTTGTATATCTTAGAGCATCGTTTATTGATTTCTTATATGGTTTATACTCGTCGTAGATAATGAGTTACAAGGTGAACAACAGATCATATAAATCTGCAATTTAAAGGTTTAGTCTATTAGGAACCAACTGACTTGATGAATTATGTGTAAACATGCCATTTTACATGTTTGCACCCTGTAGCTTTACATTGTAAACAATTTGTTAAGGAAATGCCCACCGAGTGGGCGTTTTGCTGCGTATGTGCCATGCACAGTCGATCATTTCCAATGATATGGGGCGTTTTCAGACATACTTTATCAACCAAACTGAACCGTTTATTAAAAAAATTACACACAAATACTTAAAAAAAAATACATGGTTTTGATTTAACATTTGCCCACCATCTGAGAACAAAAATCGCCAGCTTTCACATCCCTAATAATTGTACTAATTAATTTGTTTTCAGTCGGCTGGACAATAGCCCACAGTGGGACTTTCGAAAGCCAATTCGGTATTGATGTGTTTTGAAACCGTTTTAGTTTCAAGTAGATGCTGTTATTGATGTCAAGCGGGTCTTGCGTTAGTAATAGTGGTCTCTATGTATGCATTCGCATGTGCACAAAACTCCTAATGTCTAAATAAATATTTACTATAGAACTTGGGGATTTTACAGCAGTTTTATTCGAAACAAACACTCAAATGTGCGGTTCTTCAAGTTGCTAAACAACGAAATTTCCGAAATATACCTTTTTAATACAAAATACTGAATACCAAAAGCCACGGCTCTTGTTAAGTCAGTTTTTTTATAGACAAACCCTACTTACGAATATTCCATTTCCTCTACTTCGGCTTGTTCGGGCACAGCAGTGTACATCCTTCTGAGTTTTTCGTAGTGTTTTTGGTCCTAAATGGAAATAAGCAAGTTTAGGTTGGCGTCGGTTCGTTTCAGAGGCCTTACTTTTTCAGTGACTGACGGCCTGATCTTCTCAGTGGCAGCGATAAAGTGCCGACTGGACACCATCAAAGGCTTGCTCGCGCTATCTGCGATGATAAACTCTTTAAGGGCTAGAGTGGAGGCTTCACGCACCAAAGCAGCCAAATCAGCTCCAGTGTAGCCTTTAACTTGCTCCGAAGTGCCGATGCTTTCAAGATCCACGTCTTCATCCAGCTTGGGCTGAGTCCCGTTCTAAAACCACCACATCCAGAAGAGGGTTTCTAGGCGAATTTTACGCGTTTTACCTTTGTAATGGCCCTCAGGATATCCACTCGGTCCTTGCGCGACGGCAGCCCCACATAGAGGATCTTATCCAGACGTCCAGGCCTCAAAACCGCCGGATCGATGATGTCCGGACGATTACTGGCAGCTAGCAGATAGACCCCTTTTCTGCTGCTCACACCGTCCATTTCAGTCAACAATTGGTTCACTACACGCATTGTTGATCCTCCCTGCAAAGAGTTTTATTGAACATAAACAAATGTTTTGATGGATGTTTAAAGAAGCTTGATCGTACCTCTCTCGAATCCGACCTCTTCGGGCACAAAGCGTCCAATTCATCAAAGAAAATGACGCAAGGCGCCGAATTCCTGGCGCGGTCAAAACACACTCTAACAGCCCGTTCGCTTTCACCAACATACTGGAAAAAACCGCAACATTTAGCCATTTAGAGGGGCAAACAGATAGTAAGTCGCTTACCATGTTTAGTAGTTCTGGGCCTTTAACCGAGATGAAGTTAATGCCCGCTTCGTTGGCGATGGCTTTGGCCAAGAGCGTTTTTCCGCATCCCGGCGGGCCGCAGAGTAAAACGCCAGTCGGCACGCACATGCCCAAAGCTTCGAATTTCTCCACGTGCCGAACGGGAGCCTAAAATTCAACGGGAATTTGCCATTTAAACCGGGCATCACCCGACTAGTGCACTCACCAGAATGGCCATTTGCAGTTCCTCCCGGATATTCCTGAGGGACCCCACATCGTCCCAGGTGGTGTCTGGGACGGTTGCAAAACCCTCCCGCTTGGCTGATGGCTGAACTTTTTTCAGAGCCTGAATGGGGGAAGAATAAGGCAGTGTTAATTAGCTGTTTTAAGTCATTGCAATTGTTGCCGAGAAGATTCAAGCTAAGTTGAATCGATTCAATACTTGTCCGAACGCATTTTCGACGGAACATTCTTGTCGCAACGGCCCGCGACTGGTTTTCGCACGTTGCCCGGCTTAATCTATAAATGCCGTCGCCTTTCTTCGGTCTTATTCATTTCGTCACAAAATTTCAAGCGAGGCTAATGTTGAAAAGTGTGTAAATTGTTTGTGTTTGGGTTAGTTCTATTTTGATTTTCATTTCTTAGAATTATTTGTGTTCTGTTTTATATTTTTTGAATGGAAATATAAAGTTTCTTGAAAAAATGAACTTTGATTTAAATGGTGAATTTTTCCAAAAAAGTCAGGTGATTTGAATCATGATTAAAATCACGATTTAAATCACTTGAAAAAAATCAAGCCAACCCTGGAATAAGGTAGGACTAAGCCATCTGTCTCATGAATACGATGATACTCATGAAGTGTTTGTGTGTCCCCGAAAGGCTCGGCGCAACATCAACATCCATCCAACTCAGTCCGATGTATTTGTTGTGCTGAGCCCTTTGGGCATGACACTGATTTTAATCGAATTTGAGAAGGGGAAACATCTCCGACCAACAGAAACACTGATGATACCCATAAACTTACCTCTCCGAAATCGTCCATTGTAATGCAAAGATTCTGCAGCTGATCGTCGCTGATTGGGATCTTTTCGCGCAGCCACAGTTGCAGCTCTTCCAGAGTGGAAAGCGGCTTGACTTCATCCACTGGCATCGGCTCTTGAAGGGGCAGCGACTCTGAGGCAGAACCCCCGCACATTAACTACACCCGCGTTCCAAACAAACTCATCAAGCCTACCTTCTTCCACGATAATATCGGGCTCGATCTCAACAGGCAATTGGGCGGCCGGTGTTTGGGCAGCGTCCAGAGCAGGCGTGTCCTCGATAGATTCGTCTCTAGCTGCAGGTTCTTCGCTGTCGTCCAATACAACTACTGTATCCAACGAGGAAAGTTGCTTCCCTTTCGAGTCAACTGAGTTGGGAATATCGTCGTCCACCACAATTTCCTCCTCTTTCTCGCTGCTGGCAAGCACGTTCTGTAAAAGAATAATGCACATGAAACCAGCCGGCTGCAGGCAAACCAGTCAACGTACTCGAGCGGCTCGCTGGTGTTCCGCCAGCTCCTCAGCCCGCTGCTTGGCCAGTTGCAAAGCATTGCGCTGCTCCTCTGCAGCTCGTTGGGCCGCCAGGGCCTGGTTTAGCCTGTGCTGTTCCTTAACGGCGTTGAAAACCCTAAAAACAACTCCGGTCGCTTTATTGGGGCGGCGTTGAGCGCTAGCTCAGCTACCTGTTAACAGCCGAAATGGCAGCTTCGCGGGTTAGCGACAGAAGGTCGGCACCAACGTAGCCCGGGGTGTACTTGGCGATTTTTTCAAAATCAAAGTCGGGGGACAGCGTCAAGTTGCCGGTTAACACCTAGAATTGATGGTCAACTTTTAGATAAGTTCTATATTGTTGAGGCGGATTCATTTTTTTACAAACTTCTTTTTGGGTATTTTGTCTCAAAAATTTTTGTCTTTAAAAAAATATAGAATTTGCTCATGTCTTTTATTACAGATTGATAAATAGTGCTCCTATTTCGCAATAAGAACGAATTATTTATCAAAAAGTAATCAAGAACTATCACCTAGAG